TGCCAATCTCACAGTCGTTGCTACATTTGAGCCCATCTCTGTTACCATTGTGCCAATCCATCTTGTTGGGGGGTCTTCCTCTTTTTCCCTGACCCTCCAGTTTACCAAACATGATATCGTTCTCTAAGACGTGGTCCCTCCTAACAATATGTCCGAAGTATGAGAGACCAAGTCTGGCCATCTTGATTTCCAGGTAGCATTCTAGTTGTACTTCTTCTAACACAGATTGGTTTGTTCTTTTGGCCGTCCATGACCCCTTGAACATCTCCTCCAACACCGTATCTCAAATTCATCAATTTTGTTACAATCTTCCTTATCCATCACTGTCCAATTTTTGCATGCATATGAGGTTACTGAAAATATGGCTTGGGTTAGGTGCACCTTAGTTTTCAAACTGACAACTTTGCTCTAAATGACTGCTGGCTTTTAAAAAAAAGCCTTGGTGGGGTCACCAATAGTTCAAACCAATCAGTGGCTTTCTGCTCCTGCAAAATTTTACAGTCTTGGAAATTCTATGGAGCTATTATCATAATCGGTTATTATGATCCTAAATCATAATTGCTGATCCACTGGCAGTGGGTTAAGTGTTTGGTTTCTAAATTTTGATTGGGGAATATATGGGACAGGTAACATGAGGATACTGATCAGACAAGACAACAGGAAAGAGACCTACCACTTCTGAAGAGTAAAAGAAGTGAGACAGAAACTAGAGATTAAAAATATTAACACCTTAATGTATCAAATTCATTGCTACTATCATCCTGGTGTTTCACTGTATGATAAGCACTGGACTGCAATGCTGGTAGTTCAAACTCACCTGCCGTTCCTTCAAAACCCTATACAGGGTCGCTATGAGTCAGAACTGACTCAACAACATCATTTACTTTTGTTAATTAAAGAAAGGCAATAAAGAGAGTGGGTGAAGTTTAGCATGGAACTCTGCCACTGGGTAAGAATTAAACAATAGTTCAAATGACACTGATTTGTAAACAAAGCTAGTATCAGATCAATTCTGACTCATAAGAGATCAGAGACCAAAAAATACAAACTTGATGGGTACCCAGGTAACATACAGTGTATGCGAAACAACTGTGGCTATTAGGATGAAGCTAGGCTGAAATTTAGAGACCTAGAACTTTGCTATTAAACTAAGTAATACAGCCTTGGCTACGTACATTATACTAAAAATGAAGAAACATTTTAGGTCTATCTTAATTTTCAAATCACATCAATTTTACAGGTATTATAGCAGTAAGTTCATAAATAACTATTCCAAGCAATGGACTACTAACCACATGGACAATTCAAATCCATGGGTGGGCTCACTGGAAACCCTATACAGCAGGGGTGGAGAATCTTCCATATGCCAAAATTTATAACATCATTTATGGGCCACACAAAATTATCAAATTTAAAAATGAACCTGCTATATATAGTCAAACATTTAATTAATTCACCCCTGATGTGATGGTTCCTGGTGTGGTGCCATAAGATAAGTACTTGACCTCAAGGTTGGTTTGAACCATGAGATCGGCATTTCAAACTCACCAGCTGCTCCTCAGAAACCCTATTCAGGGTCGTTATGAGTTGGAACTGACTTGATGGCACGTAACACTTAACAATGTAATTAATGGCTGGAAACGTGGCTGCCCTGGCAAGTCCAGACCAAATGATTTCGAGGGTCTTAAGTGGCCCGTGGACCAGCCTTTCCTCACCCCTGCTATAAAGGGTTGCTATGAGTCTGAACTGACTTGATGATGACTCTTAACAATAACAATTCCAATTATGTTAATTACATAAAAACCCCTAAATAGAGGGGTTTCTAGGTGCAAGGTACATATACTACTCTTCTCTTACAGACAGGTTGAGTTCCAGAGACCCAAGTAGTTGTGCGAAAATTGGCATTATGTAAATATGGAAGATGGAGTCCTGGTGTGGTGCTGTGGGTTAATGTGCCAGACTGCAAAGCCATTTGAACCACAAGGTTAGCAGTTGAAGCTCACCAGGTGCTCCTCGGAAACCCTATAAAGGGTTGCTATGGGTTGGAACCGACTCAGTGGCACTTAACAACAACAAATATTGAAGATGGCATCATTACCTAACTGCCATATCACAATTTTTGAGAATCATGGCCCCGGCATATTGCCAAAGAATCGTAACCATACATAATCTCTCTAAATACTTTGGCATCCGTTACTGCAGATATACAATGGTAATGTGCAAAATAGTCAAGATTATATTTGTACTACTGTTGTAAATGTAAAGCAAGAGATAAGGGTTGTACTTTACAACCAATGACATAGATCCTGAAGATGACTCTATATTAAAAGTTCCAGTATAAGGCACAGCTTAAGACTATGGAAAATAAAGGCAAAATGCACAAAACACCACCACCACTGTTAATCATTTAAAAACACACTGATATTCACACTGGTGAGTACTGAGGTTCTGGATAAAAAATTTCCTGTTTTTCTTGAATTCTCAAATACAGTTAAAAAGAATGACAGGCATGCTGAAAACAGTTGTCCTTTTTCTCCCAGGGGTCTTACTCAAAATGCTGTCATTGGGTTTTTGCAAGAATGAGTATTTGAAATGCTCTTTAAAATGGCCTGAAGAATTTAAAAATAGAATCACAGGAAATAATTATTTAAAAATCAAAATGTTCACCTTACTTTTTAATACAAGTAAACTGTTAGAGCATCTTCAGTAAGTACACATTAGAGAGTCCATTCAGTTTAACATAGTACTGACAGCCTATAAAAATATACTAAACTATTAACTTTGACTATTTATTGAACTCTTTTTTCTTGTTCATTTTTTCAACCTATGGTCAGTGAAAATTACCTCATTTTCATGCAAAGTTTTATCAAATTAGTTTTATAGTCACAATCTTTACTTAAAAGTAACAAAGTCCTCATTAAAAAGTCTCTGAAACCTTCAAGATAAACTAGTGCAAACAAAATAGAATTGCTTAATAATCAAAATTAAATAACTTTTTTTCCTCTGAAGATGCTTCTATAAGATAGACATACAGAGTAACTATTAACTTTTAATGAAAACCAATTTCAAGGGCAGATAATGTATACTGGAAAGACTTGCTCTCATTTCTTTTAAGTTAACAACAACAACAACTTTAACATTTTGGTGATACAACATAAAAGGCAGCAAACAACACTGAAAGAGCACATGTCAGAAATTCTAGGATCTAGTTGCTAGTCTGACAATAAGAAATCAAGTGACCTCATTATATTTTACTTGTAAAGAAAGGGAAATTGTACAAATCTGTTAAGTCCCTTTCAACCGTCTTATGGTCAGGTTTTTAATTGACTAACAACAGGAACAGAAAACTCAATTAGCACCCCTGTCCCAACAAAACTTTTTGTCAAAAAGAAAAAAAAAAACAAAACCTCAGTCTTATTTTCATAATTTCTTCCACAAGAAAAATTAAATAAAACGAGACAAATGTAATGTTTCTGCATCTTCTAATCAGATACTATTAATCATTTCTTTTAAAATTAAATTACCTACCTCACTGAGGTGTTGTGAGGATTAATTCATTAGTGTTTCTAAAGCACTTTGAGATCCTCAGGTCAAAGGCGCTATAGAAGTGCAAAGTAGTAGTATTATTACTAGAGTCTCTTGTTTATTTAAGGAATTTCACAATCCTTTAAAAACCTAACCTTTAAAAACCTAGCTGCTAAGATTTAGACATCTACTTATAAATCCTGCAATTTATCCATACTTTTAAATTCTTTTAAAATATATTACAGACAGACAGGGGGCAGGATGTTTCGAAACAAGTAAAGGTTTCCCTGCTATGTGAAAATAGTGTTCCTATGATCCTTTTAGTAAGCCCAATGGCATAGAAAGAAGGAATTACCATCATTTATATAGAAAAACTTCTGAGCATCTCCAGACCCTAAAAACAATCTACCAAATAACATATAAACCTAAAACAACACTAATACACAGTGTTTATAGGCACAGTTCAAAGCAATGATGGCTTGAGGTTGAATGTAGTTCCCGGGGAAGGAGTTTAGTAGCGCCACTTCAGCTGCTTGGGCTGCACACTGCCTCTGGAACAGCTAGATGGATACTATTTTCATCTTTGTTTGTAAAAGCAAAAATCCTCTTAGAAAATCCTTTTACCAATTTCTTTTAGTAAGCAAAAACAGGTACTAATGCATGTGTCTTATAAAAACAAAGTGGCTGTAAAAAGTGAATTTTCAAAATGCGGGGGTTACCTGTAACTTTTAAGAGTTAACTGTGATCCATAGAGGAAGAAAGGGGAAATCCAGAGTAACAGACTTTGTTTATAGCATACAGTTTTAGTAAGAAACTTTGTTCAGATTTAGAAGTGTGCCTAAGGCAGATCCAACACAATACAAAACAAAAATCTACATTACAGATTCTTCAGTGAGAAACTCCATTTCAGTGGAAACAATTTTCAAATCAACTTCAATTTAAAAGCTGGAACTCAGGTGACAAATTACATGCAACCATCATTTAAACTTTTATTTTTAAATGACAAGAACATGAGTATAAACTGACAACAAGGTAATTTAAATTTGTCTTTAAATTAGCCTCCACCTCCAATTATACAAAGTAAACTAAGCATTGAGAAGAGGTTAAAAACAAAACAAAACACAACTTTCCTTTCATGAGTCTTAAGAGAAAAATTATGACTGGGGCCTCGGATTCAGAACCATGTTAAAATCTTGAATTATTCCACCACTTTCTTTCCCCTTTCCTAATCAAGTATCTTAACAATTAAAGGCGTATATTTAAAAATAAAAACCAAACACACACACACACACACACACACACACACACACACACAAACACACAAGGTTAAAAGAACCAGAGCCATCTCTATTTAAACAGGACAAATCTGGTTAGAAAAAGCCACTATGCCCTGGTGTGCCTTAGATTCTCCAGTGCAACACAGTTCCAGTCTTTAGATCAAACTGAAATTTAAATATTAAACTTCAAACTCTTACCTCCTGCTCCTGTTGAAAGATGACGACTCTACCACCTTTATCTCCTGTTGCTAGTAATTCTCCAGAATGATTAAATTCTACTGTAGAAATTATATCTGCTGTATAATTGAAACAAAAACATAAAGACATTAGTTTTTCTTTCCCAACTCATTATTATAGTTTCAAAACACAGCATGACTCTTCTAACACATTCCAAGTTTGTATGGTAACCTGACATTATAAATAAAAGTGAACCTGAAGTTATTTCACCAATATTTTGGTCCACCAAAAGATAATTCTTCCCAGAATAAACCAAAAACACATTCCTATTTTAGCAAATAAGAACTCAATAAATAATATTAGTAGCTTATTAGTACCTCACTAAATTTATAAATGAAAAGGAAACCAGCAATTTGTGAGCGATTCTATGACAGCACCACTAAACATTTAAAAATGATCTTGCTAGTTTTCTGCCTTTGAATCAGTTGCGACTCATAGCGACCCTGTATAGGGTTTCAGAGGAACTGGTGGTGAGCTTGAACCACCTACCTTGCAGTTCAAACTGACATTGCAGTCCCATGCATTATAACCTGCAGAGCCACACCAAGACTCCTATTAGGAAGGCAAAAATGGAAGTCCAGTACTCTCAATTTTTGCAGCTCAAAATATTAGATGAAGATGTTTTATAAAATTATATAATGAACATAGATGCATTTATACATCATTTTCCTCAGAGCAAGGGAAAGTAACTATTTAAATTCATAGTACCTCTTTGCTTTTGTGTACCTTCCACAGTATAAGAGCCAAAGCATTTTGGAAAATTAAAAAAAAAAAAAAATCATCTTTACTTTTTTGATGATGACAATATGTTTATTTACACTTCTCATTTTTCGAAACATGAATTAACAAATATCCTGAAGAGTACTGTCAATATTTCAGGCGAAGAAAGCCTCACCCACTGAAGGGGATCCAAGTATATACTAATGAATCTATTGAAAAGTAGCACTGTACTTAAGTGGAGTACCTGGGTGGTACACACAGGTAAGTAGTGGTCTATTAGCCAAAAGACTGGGAAGCTCCTCAAGCAGACAGGTCCGGTGATCTGCTTCCAAAAGGTCACAGCCTCGAGAACCCTATGGAGTTCTACTCTACACACGAGGTCACCATCAGTCAGAATTGCCTCCAGAGTCACTAACAACACAGCACTCTACCTTTTTATCCCTTCTAAAGAATTAAAATTTGAGCATAAAAAAAGTGCTGTAATTTTCCCTAAACTGTTCACTGTTTTAAAGATGCACTTACTTAACTGAGGCAGAACTTCTGGAACCTTCTTTCTCTCCTTTTTAACTATTACTATCCTGGTGTGGCGCTGTGGGCTAACACGGCAGACTGCAAAGTCGTTTGAACTGCAAGGTCGGTGTTTCAAGCTCACCAGCTGCTCCTTGAAAATCCTATACAGGGTCACTATGGGTCAGAGTCGACTTGATAGCACTTAACAACAACAAATCCATCAACAAGAACATGTTCATTTCAGTTTAGATGTTACATCCTATAGCAACTAGTTTTGAACCTTCATCCCTTGTGCCTAAGGAGCTCTGGTAGCTTAGTGGTTACCAATCAGGCTGCGAACCTTAAAGTCAGCAGTTCGAAACTAAAAGCAGTTCCGCAGGAGAAAGATGAGGCTTTCTGCTCCTGTAAAGATTTACAGCCTCAGAAACCCTGTACAGAGTCGCTATGAGTCAGAACTAACTGCAAGGCACATAACCACCCCCACCCCACGATGTCAGCATTGCTGGGTTTTGCAATCACCAGTATTTTTTCTTATCACCAAATCAAACTCATTGCTGTGAGTTGACTGTGACTCATAGAAACCCTAAGTTGTTGTTGAAGTGTTGTTGCATGGGCTCCAATTCACAGTGATCCTGTATAGTTTTTCCAAGGAGTGGCAGGTGGGTTTCAACTGTTGACCTTGTGGTTAGTCCAGTGCTTATTCTACAGCACCATAACAGTGTCCCTACAGAACAGAGTAAAATACCCCATAGGGTTTTCCAAGGCTATAAATCTGTAAGGAAGGAGGTGACCGGTCAAGTGCTTAACAACCAGGGTGTCATTGGGGCTTCTGTTTCCCTATCACAACACTTAACTAAATATACTTTCTTTTTCCTTGTTAATCTCTCTTTTCATTATTATATTGCCAGAACTCAGACCAATGCTTTGCATATATCAAACCCAAAACAAAGAAACCAAACCTACTGGCATCAAGTCGATTGTATGACTCACAGAAACTCTAGAGAAGAGGGTACAAGCTTTAAATCTTTAATGAAAGCACATTACCGCATCTTCTCCTACACAGCAGTTGCGGGGGGGGGGGGGGTTCAAGCCACCAATCTTGCTGCTGGTAAGTCAGTCCTGACTCAGCGACCCTGTGTAGGGTTTCCAAGAAGCAGCTGATGAGCCTGAAATGCCAACCTTGCAGTTCAAACCTACGTTGTAGCCCAGCATATTAAACCTCAGTGCTACACCAGGACTCTCCCTGATGCTGCAGCTCCCCCAAAACTGTAATTTCCAGTTTTATACAACTTTCTCTGTTTATTCCAATGTGCCATCAAAATTACTATTTTCTATAGGTTCTGGTGTGGCATTGTAGGATAAGCACTGCTAACCGCAAGGTTGGTAGTTCAAACACACCAGTCACTCCTTGGAAACCCTAAACAGGGTTGCTATGAGTTGGAACTGACTTCATGGCACCACCACAAAGCATGACAAACAATAAGCATGTACAAACAGAAAGCACTACTCTAAAAATGTGGTCATATATTGTACTATACTCAAACAAGGTCGGCCAAACATTGTTATTTTTAGTACCAATAAATGTAGAAGCATAATACACATCTGGTTCCAGACCACCTTCTTAATAAAGTGAGTCACGTGCATTTTTTTGGTTTCCCTGTTCATATAAAATTTATGTTTATGCTGAAGTGTAGTCTATTAAGTGTGGAATAGCATTATAAAAGTTGGAAATTTGGTGAGAATTGCCAAAATGTGACACAGAGACACATGTGCTACTAGAAAAAATGCCACATAGGGTTGCCACAAATCTTTTATTTTTAAACTGCCTATTTGTTAAGTGTGCTAAAATGAGGCATGCCTACATTCCTTCCTAGAAAACAGTCTTCCAGTGCTCTGATCCTCGCATTAATTTAAAAACAGTGTTGTTAAACAGAACTTTTTGTATGATGAAGTGCTCTAGACCGGTACTGTCCATACAGCAAGCACTACTCACATGTGACTAATGAGCACTGGAAATGTGACTAGTGCAACCAAGGAACTAATTTTTAATTTTGTTGTGGCTGTAAAGTGACTTCTGACTCAGAGCGACCCAGTGCAGGGTTTCAGAGGAACAGCTAGAATGGTAGACCTTGTGGTTGAAACCCACCTTGCAGTCCAACGCTTATCTTGCAGTGCAACACCAGGACTGCCATACCTATATCCCCTGCCCCCAGCTTATCCACAGATTCATTCCATGACCCCTCCACCTGAAATCGAGGGTAGTGCTGAACTCCACTGAAGCTATGTTTTTTTCCTATACAGTAACAGTACAAACATACAACAAGGTACCAAGGGTGCCCTGGGCAGGCAGTGTTAACCCCTGCACATCAGCAAAGCATGGCACAGCCGTTTACCCAACTATTTTCCAGGCTCACATCCAGCAGAAGAAACTCAGCTCTTACATAAAAAGTGAGATGTCACAACATTCTATCACTGTACTCAGAAAAATGACTTAATTTAAATATTTTTGAACCATGTTGTTGTTAAGTGTTGTTGAATTTATTCCGACTCATAGTGACCCTGTACAGGGTTTCTAAGGAGCAGCTGGTGAGCTTTAACTACCAACCTTGCAGTTCAAACAACTTTGCAGAATGATGCATTAGCCCACAGCACCACATCATAGATAATTAAAACTAGTACACATACATGGATTGTATTTCCCTAAAGAGGAACAGGCTAAAATCATACAGGTTTCATAAAAACTTAAAATTCCTATATATTAGTTTAAAAACTACTGATACTTGTACTGAGATTAAAGTGAGCTCTACCATGGAGTCCTGATGTGATAATGTAGGATAAGCAGTGGCCTGACAGCCACGTCAGGGTTCAAACCCACCAGCCGCTCCTTGGAAACCCCATACAGGAACAGAGGCAGAATAACAGCAACATACCATCCTTTAAAAGGAGTCGCAGTGGTGCCATGGGTTAAGCACTGGACTGCTAACTGCAAAGCAGGCAGTTCAAACCCACCAGTTGCTCAGCGAAAGATGTCTTGGAAACCCTACCTATAAGTTACTGTAAGTCACTATGAGTTAGGCTGACTCTCTAGCAGTGGGTTTACTATGATTTAAAAAACATGAATATCACTATCACACCATAATTCTGAACTAGAGTCAGGGTATAATACTATCCAACAATTTAGTTTTGTTCTCGTCAACCAACAACAAAAAGGCCAATAAAAAACTTCTTTTAAAGGAAAAATAAGTCACCTCTATAATAATAAATAATGTTCTTTTACAAAGAAAACCTGCCTATACTAATCTTAATAGGATTAATAAAAAGGGAAGACTCACTTCAGAACACAAGATCCGGGCAGTCAACAAATATATGAAGAAATGTTCACAATCACTAGCCATTTGTTGTTGATTAAGTACTGTGGAGTGGGTTCCAACTCATAGTGACCTTGCACAGGGCTTCCAAGGCTGTAATTCTTTATGGGAGCAGAAAGCCTAATCTTTCTCCTGCTAAACAGCTGGTAGTTTCGAACTGCCGACCTTGAGGTTAGCAGCTCTATTTGTAACCACTACGCTACCAGAGCTCATTCGTAATCACTACGCTACCTGTGCTTTATTGACTACGCAAAGGCTTTCAATTGTGTGGATCATGACAAGCTACGGGCAACATTTTAAGAGTATTCGAGAACACTTATTTGTGCTCATGAGGAATCTGTACATGGACCAAGAGGCAGGTGTTCGAACAGAACATGGGAACACTGAATGGTTTCAAATTAAGAAAGGTATGCAATAAGGTTGTTTTCTTTCACCATATTTATTCAACCTGTATGCTGAGC